AGCCTCCCAAGTAGCTGGGACTACAGGCACCCGCCACAATGCCCAGCTATTTTTTGTTGCAGTTTGGCCGGGGCTGGGTTTGAACCCGCCACTCTCAGTATATGGGGCCGGCGCCCTACTCACTGAGCCACAGGGGCCTCTCATATTTTTCCTATCCTTGAATCACCGCCCACTTAAAGTCCTCTCTGTGGGGAACTAAGGAAATGGGAGAAATGGGAAAAGAAGTATGACATGTTTCTTCTCCTCCAAGAGGGCATTTGGCATGTGCTCAGAACTAAGAATCAAGGACACCATGAAATTGTAAGTCACTAGGGCTTTCTCTTTATAGAGACAATAAAGATAATAGACCCTGTACTCTGTCTCTTCAAAATGAACTTTAACTAATTAGAGAATGAGGTCCCTAGCTCCTAAGGATCAAAACTACCTATATACAAAACAAATATTGATTTTAGAGGCAGCTAAGATGGACCTGACAGCACAGGCACAAAGTGACAATGTGACTTTGAATCTCAGCTTTCATGTTCCTACTTAATTTCTCTGAGTCTTGGTTTTCTTACTTACATAATAACCACTACCCATAACTTCTGTTATGCTCTATTCTAAGTGCTTTATATATATTACTCACTTAATCCTCACAAGACGTCTAATAGATGAAGAAACTTGGGCGCTGAGAGATGAAGTAACCTGCCCAGAGCTATGAATGCTGCGGGAATTTGAATTCAAAGTGAGGCAGTATAGATTCAGACTTGATATTCTTTTTTTTTTTGAGACAGTCTCATTATGTCACCCTCAGTAGAGTGTCATGGCGTCATAGCGCACAGGCTCACAGTAACCTCAAACTCTTGGGCTTAAGTGATTCTTTTCCCTCAGCCTCCCAAATAGCTGGGACTATAGGCACCTGCCACAATGCCTGGCTATTTTGTTGTTGTTGTTGTCACTATTGTTTAGCAGGCCCAGGCCAGGTTCGAACCCAGCAGCTCCGGTGTATGTAGCCAGTGCCCTAACCATTGAGCTATGGGCGTTGAGCCCAGTTTTTTTTTTT